GTTGTTAGAATGCTAAAATTGTCAATCATCTCCTAACCAATACTCTCTAAAGGAAACCTTACTCCTTCACAAATTGTGAATCCAGGAAAACATAATAATTCACAAATGAATCGATGTGAAAGATAAAAATCGTAGAAATAAGAGTAAGACAAAAAAATACAATCAAACATCAATTATTATTTTTTTACAATTTAAGGTTCTAACGAAATAAAATACAAAGATACATTCCAACATCTCTGTTGAGATAAAGCATATGTCTCGATAGAAGCAAAATATACTACAACTTGTCTGATCAATATATTTATTTTACAAACTTATTTGATGCAAGAAAAAAGACGACCAATCATTTTTGTAGGGAACCGTAGTGAATATTGATAAATTACAAAGACATACAAGTTGCAGATTTGTGCAAAAGAAGATATTTTCCATATGCATACGTTGTAATTTTTATTCATGAACAATCTATTTTTTTCACATATAACATTGTATATGTCCACCAATTTTCTCCAAATGCTTAATCTTCTAACCTAGATAATTAATTATTACAACAACAATTTTTTTGTAATAGTAAATACACAAATAATCAATAAACTAAAATTTTTGCATATTTTACCATGTTAATTTTTAAATCCACGCAACGCGTGGACAATCTCTAGTATAATATAAACATCACATTTCCTTCTTATCCATCATTCACTAAGAGTTGAAATTTTGAAGTAAATAGTCTTTTTTCTTCTTCTTTCTTCCAACTTCCACCATGAATTCTTTAACACTTCCAATTTTGAGACATGCTTCAAATTCTGTAGACAAGAATGGATCCTCTGTTCCGGATAAAATGGACCTAATGGTTGATCTTGAATCAGGCACGGTCGACGAGTTGAGCAAACGGGTTCCTGGAATGTGGCGTATCCCTACAAATCGCGACATTTGTTGTATCTACAGAGTCCCAAACTGTCTACGTAAAGTCAGTCCAGAAGCATACACGCCTCAATTAGTCATCATTGGACCTCTTCATCATTCTTTGAAATCAAAAGCTCTCAAGTCTCCTGGCGATATCACAGATGCAAACTCAATGGGATACTTAAACATGGAGGAGCACAAGAAGTTTTACCTAGCGGAATTCGCCAAAAGGGTAGAAGGGAAAAACACGATTGATGGATTCAGGAGAACGATTGAAGAACACGAAGTTATGATTAGGGCAAGCTATTTGGAATCAACGGTCTGGATTGAATCACCAAAGTTTGTGGAGATGATCTTGCACGACTCTGTTTTCATATTAGAGCTCATGTTGAGGTTTCTCGAGGTAGGAACAGAGAAAACAGGGGATCCTCTCATGGATGAGGCTTGTCTTGAACTCACAATCAAGAGAGATCTCATCTTGCTCGAGAACCAGCTTCCTAGCTTCATCCTCGAGAAACTCTTTGATCCGATAGTTTCAATACTCCGCGGTATGACATTCCACGAATTAACCATGGATCATTTTGGATTCACAGACAAGAAGGGAAGCGACTCAAAGTTTAGACATTTCACTGATTTGCACAGGAATCTCCGCGTGGACTCGGTTAGAGATCATGATTCTGGGAGATACCAGCCCACGTACCAAATGTATAATGCGGAAAAGCTAGGCAGTAGGAGAGTGAAATTCAAGGCTGTGGAAGACGAGTTATCGGTCTTGGTGACATTCGATAATGGTGTTTTGAAGTTACCTCGTTTCTTGGCTGATGACGATGCGGAGATAACAATCAGAAACATAATGGCCCTTGAGCAATGCCATTACCATTCAACGCTCACGTTTGTAACTACATCAAGTTCTTGGATTTCCTCATCGACAACGAGAAAGACGTCGACTTGCTTGTCGAGAAAGGTAACTCTTTTTATCTAGGTCAAGTCTATTAGAGCATTATCTCTAGAACAAGCCCAATAGGCCAATACATTTTCACAAGCCTATTAAAGTGTCAAAGGAAACCCATGTGTTTAGGGTTTCAAAGCAAGTAGTTAACTATATATATCAATATATTTAAGATATGTTCTATGTGTGTGTGAGACTCTAAGTATTGATTCGTGATGGTTTTGGTTTATGTAAGAGATAATAACGAACTGGCTAGGGAACCATGGTTCGGTGGCCAAGATGGTGAACAAGCTTTGTTTGGGAGTGTGTGATGATGGTTCTTACTATACTGAAATCGCAAAACAAGTCATCAATTACTACAATGACTCATTCAATAAGTCGCATTCAAACCTCAGGCGCGCGTATTTCAACAACATGTGGAGAGGGACAGCCACCTTAGTCGCTGCGTTGCTATTGATACTGACTCTTATCCAGGCCGTGACTTCGATCATTGACGTTTTGCCTCGGCGCAAGTGAACGCTTACCAATTCGTGTCCGTTTTTTATAGTCAATCTTCGTTCAAATGATTGAGCTAGTAGTAACTAGCAACAACTGTTTTCTGATCTTCTCAAAAATAAACTCTTACCAATCTATCTTTTCATTTTTTTTTAGGGTTTTTAATGAAAAATCCCTTCAACTATCTACAGATTGTGAAAAATCCCTTCAACTAATTTTTTAGTAAAAAACCCCTCAACTACATTTCTTTAGTGAAATTAACCCTGTGTTACAAGAACGCTTAACCTCAGTAAAAAATTGTTGTCTTTTTATTAAAAAAAACGACAAAACTTCTCAAATATTAATCAAAATATCAAATCGTTTACAGAAAAATAACAC